GCCCAACCACGGGCCCAAAGTCAACAGAGTCAAGGCCCACCCAAGAAAGGAAATTTGACCCAGAAGTGCCAACCCCTTGCCCCTAAGGCCCTAAATTTCAAGAATAAGGGAAAATCTACCGTTCAATAGGCTTCCACTTAAATGAACATGTGTTACCGCTGTGGATCAAATGATCATTGGTCATGCATATGTAGAGCTACTCCCGAGGCCATTGCCAAGTATCATTCCCGTCGTGAGTTTAACTTTTCCCATGTGGAACATCCCGAAAATGCTACTGCATCCATGGAGATATCAAATTTTCAGGAGTCATCAACTCTTATAGACGAATAAGTTTTATTCTTCTAGACATGTTTTTAGGGCGTCTTTACCCCTAGTGGCCAAACCCTGCGTTATTTTTTAGGTTTATGGTTTAATTTTTGGACAATTTTTCTAAATTTTTGGAATAATTTGTTTGGTTTTGGTTTGTTTTGAATTATGGATAATCATTTTATGGATATTATTTTTTGAAATGATTAATTGAATGAATGAAATTATATTTATGCATATGACCTATTCAATCAATTTATTTCTAGGTATGACTAATAGGGAAATTAGTTATCTGGCTGATAGTGCTGCTACGCACACCATATTGCGTGAGCGACGCTATTTTACTAATTCGTACCTAAGAAAACACCTTTGACAACCCTTTCAGGCTCATTCAACCTGATTGAAGGATACGGAAAGGCCCGTATAATGTTATCTAATGTTACTTTCTTAACCATTAAAGAGGCCCTCTATTCTCCAAGTTCTGAAAGAACGTTGCTGAGTTTTAGAGACATTCAAGATAATCAATATCATGTTGAAACCACTGAAGAGAATGGTTCTAAATTTCTTCGTATCACTTCTTACGAGTATGGCCAGAAACGTATTCACAAGAAGCTGGAACGTTTCTTAAGTGGGTTGTACATCACAACCATTCGCGGCATAGAAATCCATCATATGGTCGGCCCTAACCTTGGGTTCCAAAGCACTTTACTGCTTTAGCATGACCGTATGGGACATCCCAAACGTGACATGATGCGCCGTATCCTTAAATCATCACATGGGCATTATTTACCTTCATACGTTGGATTCTTGCCATGCAAAGCTTGTTCTTTGGGGAAGTTGAATACTCAACCCTCAATTACAAAGGGTCTTCACAACCTTCCTAAGTTTCTTTAGAGGATTCAAGAGGATATTTATGGACCTATCCAACCAATATGCAGACAATTTAGGTATTTTATGGTGTTGATTGATGCATCGACACGTTGGTCACATGTTTGCTTATTTTCCACACATAACACTGCATTTGTGAAACTCCTAGCACAAATTATTAAGCTTAGGGCTCACCATCCTGATTATCCGATCAAGTCGATTCGATTAGATAATGCTGAAGAGTTTACGTCATAGAATTTTGACGACTATTACATGTTAGTTGGGATTGAAGTCAAGCATCATGTACCCCATGTTCACACCCAGAATGGCCTGGCAGAAGCTTTCATAAAGTGCCTTCAATTGATAGCTTGGACTTTGGTGATGCGAACCAAATTGCTGGTATTTGCCTAAAGCTATGCAATATTGCACGCAGTTATGTTGGTCTGCCTGAGGCCCACCGCTACTCAACCTCATTCACCGTTACAGTTGGTTATACGAGCCTGACGTCTCGCATTTACGTGTGTTTGGGTGCTCAGTTTACGCCGCCACTACATACCAAAATGGGTCCTTAGAGAAAAATGGGAATCTATGTCGATTATGATTCACCATCAATTATTCGCTATTTAGAGCCCTTGACATGAGATCTCTTTATCGCATGTTTTACAGATTGTCACTTTGATGAGACAATCTTTTTATCATTAGGGGAGATAAGCATGTTAACGTTCCTATAGAACACCGCGAATTGTCGTGGTATGCTCCCACTATGACTCATTTAGATCCCCACACTGCCCAGTCTGAAACTAAAGTGCGACGAATTATAGATCTTCAGAGCATTGCTCAAAGCATGATGGATGCTTTTACTGATCTAGCAAAAGTGACGAGATCACATATACCCGCTGCAAACTCACATGCAAGGATAAACGTACCTCGAGTGTGCCATAATACCGCATGGGAAGGCCGAATTGCCCCTAAGGTAGGGCGGCACACTTTCCACGTCGCCCAATACATTGACGGCTAGCCAATCATCTGCTCCTACCTTGAAGCATGGCAGACCCCCTAATTCAAAGGATTCATAACCCTGGAAGAGGAAAATGGCATAAACTAGTGACCCTAGTCTGAATCTGACAATCGCTTACTCATTTGTTCCAACGCATGAGGTTATTTTAGATTACAGTGTTGTCTTAGATGAGACAACCCGACCTCTCCAGAATCACGAGATTTCACTCCACTACGCAGTATTGGATGAGGTTTGGAATCGAAATGAGATGATCATTGACGATGCATTTACGTACATAGTAGCTACTAACATCATGCTTAACGATGACATTGAACCACGTTCCGTTGATGCATGCCAACGTAAAACGGATTGGTCAAATTGGAAACAAGCAATCCAAGTCAAACTCAATTCATTTGCGAAACATAAAGTGTTTGGACCTATAGCTCCTACTTCACCACATGTGAAGCCCGTGGACTACAAGTGGGTTTTCTTGAAGAAATGTAATAAGAATAATGAAATAGTGCGATACAAAGCACGCCTCGTAACGCAAGGCTTCTCTGAACGCCTTGGGATTGATTACGAGGAGATGTATTCCCCTGTAATGGATGTCATAACGTTCCACTACCTTATCAATTTGGTGGTTTCTGAAAAACTGAATATGCAATTTATGGACGTGGTAACCATGTATTTCTATAGGGATCTAGATACGGAAATCTACATGAAAGTTCCAGAATGACTTCCATTTACTGGTTCAAATAGTTCTAGACCATGTAACACTCTCTCTATTAGATTGAGGAGATCACTCTACATATCGAAACAATTCAGGTGAATGTGGTATAACCGTTTGATAGAATATTTGACAAGTCAAGGTCATTGCAATTTATGTCGATGACATGAACCTCATCTGAACTCCCGTAGAGCTTAAGGAAATTGCCGTTCACTTGAAATCTAAATTTAAGATGAAATATCTTGGGAAAACTCGATATTGTCTCGACCTAGAGATCGAGCATTGTTCGGATGAAATCTTAGTACATCAATCGAACTACACCCAAAATGTGTTGCAATGTTTTAATAAGGATAAATTGAAGCCTTCGAGTACTCCTATAGTCGTTCAGACTGTAGATGCTAAACAAGATCCCTTCCATCCCAAGAAGGATGAGGAAGAGATTTTGGAGCCTAAAGTTCCATACCTAAGTGCAATTGGTGTTTTATTGTACTTAGCTCAATGCACTAGACCTGACATTTCCTTTGCTGTTAATCTTTTGGCTAAATATAGCAATGCACCTACACGAGAGGAGCCGCCGCCCCCTTGGTCATCGGGTTTATTCTCGCCTTGTTGGTTATGTAGATGCGTATCTGTCTGACCCATATAGGGCACGTTCTCAAACGGGCTATGTCTTTACTGTTAGAGACACCGTTATATCTTGAAGGTCTAACAAGCAAACATTAGTTGTGACTTTTTCGAACCATGCTGAGATCTTCGCCCTGCATGAAGCATTGCTTGAGTGCTTTTGGTTAAGAGTAGTTATGGAACATATTCGAAGCACTAGTGGTCTTACTACCATCGTTGACCTTCCTACGATGATCTTTGAAGACAATGCAGCATGTATCGAGCAGTTAAAGAAAAGATACATCAAGGGAGACAACACCAAGCACATAGCGTCGAAGTTATTTTATTCTCACCAATAACAACAACATCATAACATTGAAGTTAAGCAAATCTGTTCCTAAGACAACATGGCCGATCTCTTTACCAAGTCATTGCCCAAGTTTACTTTTCAAAAACTCGTCCAAGGAATCGGTATGCGTAAATTATCTGAGTTGAATTGTTTGTAGTTCTCTTATTTGAAAGTTATGTCTAACTCAGGGAGAGTATCCTGAAGCATACTCACTTGATCTTTATGTACTATCTTTCCTACAATTAAGAGCATTTTTCTCACTGGGTTTTTGCTACCTAACGAGGTTTTGATGAGACACCCATCCTGGGATGATCATACTCTGTTGAGTTCATTATTTTCGTCCTGTTTGACGTTTGTTTTAGACATTATACATACTTCTCATTTTTCTCCTTAGTCAATGGGTTTTCACCTACCTTAGGTTTTATTATAGTGAGGTTTTGTGAGTTTTACTACCAATGCATACTTTTGCTTTATATTTGAGATTCGCATTCGCTCGTTGTGCCGCCGATTTCATCAACTGGTCTACCTCAACTGCTGAAGATCTGATGCGATATTTTCTTTGAGTATTTACACACTCAAGGGGGAGCGTTGCAGACATATTTAGAATAGGAATGTGATTGTGCAAATCCTAGTGTATCTAGTGATATCTTTGAATATTCCCTTTCGTAGTTAATAACTTATTAAAGTTGTAATCCTATTAGGTAAAGATTTAACGCACAATGAGGTGATACAACACACACCTCACAATTAAATCTCTCTCTTCTCTTTCTCTCGCCGCCGACCTCTCTCTCTCTAGTCCTAAATATAGTTCAGTCAAATAGGCCTACAACAAATACAATTTAACCTTCATATTATTTTTCTTCTGAATTTTAAAGAAGAAAAAAAAAATACCCCGGCTAAGCAATGTATGACCACTAGTCAAACATGGACAAAATTTAAATTGAGGCACCTGATTTCCTAAAGTTGCACACACTAAATACTAAAGCTAGACCTGACTAGAACCTAGAGGCATCTAATCATTTTATTATTTATTTTTTGTCATTATACTTGATAAAGCCAAAGTTGAAATATAATCGTTGGTGCTTTTTTCCTTTGGTGGTGGTGTATGTGCTTTTTGTTTTAGTTGATTACGATTTCTGCCCGACTATTCAGTGAGATAATTGGTTTGAAGTTTGAATTATCAAATGATTTTTATTATGTGTAATTTTAAACTAACTTTACATTAAAAAAAAAGAAAAATTTAAATCCAAACACAATAAAATAAAACAAAATTTATTGACTACTAAAATAATACACCACTTGCTAAATTAAAACAAAAATCTTCCAATATTAATTTCCTTACAAAGTAAGAAATAAGAATATTTAGCTAGCACAGTCAATCACTTTAACCATCACTTTCACTTTTTTTTACTTTTGCTTTTCTTAACTCCCACTCTTTTTCTCTGTCCCATAAAAATGATATACAGCTAGCCAATTGCATGTAAACATAACTCTATAGCATGACCACGTATCATTATATATCTATATAGACAAACTATATATAAACCCATACGCGCACCCAGTAGCTAGATAATTGCAATGCGCCTGCGTACAAATCAATAGTGTGTATATTTCCCTCTCTCTCTCTCTCTCTCAACAGCGCTGCGATCATTCCCAGCAGCTGCAGGCTTGTGGCGTACGTGTGCTTTGAGAATTTAAGTGCAGATCGATCGAGCAATAACTGCTGCGCGAGCTGAGATAAAAGAAAGATGTTGAAGAAGAAAGTATGTGCAGCATTAGTGAAGCAGATAATAGGTGCGGTAAGCTCATTGGGCAAGGGTAGAACCCTAGAGGCTCTCAAGAGAAAAACCAGGGCCATGAAGGCTCGAATCATCATATTCTCGTTGCTGAGCAACAACAAGTTGGTGATGATCACCTCCATCCCTCACAAGATCCACGCTTTGTTTGGCCACTCTGACGACTCTAATCATCAGCAGCTGGAAGAAGAAGATGATGACGATGATGGTATTAATCAAGATCATCAGTACCAGAATAGCAGCAGTATTATTAATAATGATCATAGTATAATATTAATGTCGTCCCATGAATCCCAGTCCCACCTGCAGCAGCCGCGGCCGGTTCATCATAATAATATTATTAGTACTCCAACTGATCATCATAATCACGATTACATTACTACGTCGGAGGACCACGTCGTTGTCAATGATGCAGAAAAGTACCCAGATCTGACCCACTCGCTGTTCGACTCGGACGATGATCAGCTTGGATCTGTGATAGATATTGTCAAGAACTCAAAGCAAGAGGCCGGCCAGGAATTCAGTCTCGAAGAAGAAATAGACCACGTGGCAGACTTGTTCATAAGGAGGTTCCACCGCCAAATGAGAATTCAGAAGCAGCACTCCTTCAAGAGGCACCAGCAGCAGCAGTAGGAGCTGATCCGCACTGTTGCCTGATCGACCTACCTACCACGCGCGCGCTTACCTGGCTTCTATAGGCACCTAGCTATTGCTTCGTTTTTAGCTAGCTAGGTGCTAATACTATGGACGGAGAGTAAATTGTTTTGCTATTTTAGGGAGGAAAGAAAGTGTTTAGATGTAAAAATCTTTGCTAGCTATGTAAAAGAAAGTTAGAAACTCATGAAATTAACCTTGAAAGTTTGCATGATGGCGTAGGCTCAAACTTCATCGATAGCTAATCTAACAATAATTTATCGTTTGACAAAAAAAAAAAAAAATCATTTTGGTTCTGATCCCTAGTCAACATTGTTAGGTTGAAATCTTATTCTTTTTTATTTTTTTATCAAAGTCCTTTGACTTTGTACACCCAGCATTTTAGTATTACTATATTTCCATGTCATCTTTTTTATATCTTAAATAAAAAACTGTAATTTAAAATATTGATTGCAGTCCAACATTTAAGGGATTTAAATCCAAGAATTTAGGTAATTCAAAATCCTAGTATTATGAGATTCAATCAATCGATCAAGTCTAAAAGAAATTTAAAATTTTAAAAATTCAAAAATGTATGGGATCAAGTCTAAAAGAAATTTAAAATTTTATGGGATCATATATGTACAAATCTCACGAATTATGAGACTTAAAAATTAAAAAAAAAATAAAAATTCATGCACACTGCACATATTTTTGTGAATTTCATTGAGTAATATTAAGGGAAATAATATATCCCATGAATTCATACATACAAAAGCAATGTACCCATGAACTTAGACCAAAAATAAATAGCATATGGGTACTTACCGAATTTATAAGAAAACTCATGGGTACATTTAATGACACACCCCGATCGAGATCAAGGCATGCTGGCCGTCACATGGAAGTGACGTAACCATGTGCACAGTGCGGAAGCTAATAAAATAATAATAAAAGTACGAGTAAATAAAAACCAGCTTTACACAAAGTAATAACATACATGTGCAAGCGTAAGTGTGAAAAACAAAGATCAGAGCTCGAAGACCTAATGCAGTCCGGGAGAAATAACACTACAAAAACACAACCAAAGGTGGTCCTACACTGGTGATAATCTGTCATATATGCCGGGGAAATCCTCTGGGGAGCCACCAAAAGTGCTAGCCAACTAGAACCTGGAGGGCGCAAAACAGAAAGTGTGAGTGGGCAAAAACAAAGTTTTTCAAAAACCATTTCAAAAACAAGATTCTAACCCCTCGCCGTAAAACCTGTATACTTCCCAGAAAAGTAGAATATATATATATATATATATATATATATATATATATATAAAAATCATGCTTGGAAATATGCCATGCCAAATGTCTCTAAATAGAATGCAAGTGCTCAGGAATATCAAATTAATGCCATGTAAGCTGTCATCCGGAGTCACCTAACGCAACCTGTACGGCTGAATCTAGAGCTCAAATCTCTATCTCACTAACTGTACCTGCACACTAGTCAAAACCACCTAGAGTGGTCTGTATGACAGGACTGGGTGTATAATAAGTACGCTCAAGTGCTACGATCACGTGAAGGCTGGGCGAATAATCGCGGGTCACCTATGAGTCGGAACCACCTAAAGTGGTCTGTACGACAGAACTGTGCACCTAACTTGGATCCAAGATGAGCGTGTGGTGCGGGAGGTGAACATCACGTGAAGGACTGTGCCCAACTCTGGGCGGGAGCACTGACACCGGGGGTGCAGGTTATGAGCTCTCTATGCATCTCAAACCATTACTGAATATAAGCATAAACCATACTCACATGGCACTTACCTGTGTGCCCGCAGCACCAACATACATATATATATATAGGCTACTAACAATGTATAAACAAACGGCAAACATAATGCAGGGCATAAAAACGTATAAACGTTTCAATTCATTTTCTGGGAAAAGCATAAGTATATAGGTATATACGGAAAACCAAAAGCCCACTCACTGATATGTAGAAGGGTCGTAACCCCCTTGCCTCGAGTGACCGCACTCATCATCGGGATAGGTCTCACCTTTATGCGAAACAACTATAAAAACGTTAATTTTAAAGCACATAACCAACCTTAAGAAATAACTTCTCATACAAAGCTCAAATGGGGTGTATGAATACACCAACGTGATCTACTCAACCTCAGGAACATCCCCAAATTTTTAGAAAAATTTTCTGACGCCGTACGCGCCCTCACACGCTGGCCACGTGCAGGCACACTGACGACGTCAGTTAACGCCGTCAGGAATATTCCGTTAACTTTAACGGATTCCGTTAACGCCGTTAGGAATATTCCGTCCAAACTGACGAAATATTCCGTCATCTTCTCCGGCGCCGGAAAATCGGGAAAACTTCATAGCTTCGTATCTTCTTCGTTTTTCAACCAAATTTCACAAAATTGGTACCAAAATGAAGCTTACAACAAGAGGAACAAATCCATACCACTTTTAAGCACTAAAACCCACGAAATCTCGCTGGGAAAACACCACCAACTCCGGCCAACCTTGTAACTCACGATCCCAACGTCCAAAACCTTCAAACGAACCACCCCGAGCCTCCTAAGGGCCTTACCAAGCTTCCTACAAGCTTGAAATTCCCAAAAACACAAGAATTAACGTGTGCATGAACAGTGACCAAATCGGGGTATCCCAAGTTCGACGTGAAAACGAAGGTATCCTTACCTGAAATGGGTATGGTTGAACTCCCAAGGACCTCACGAGCACGAATATGTAATTTGTTTCCTCGATCTGTGAAGGTTTGGTGTGTTTATGTGTGTGTCCGTACATAAAGGATAGGAAAGGGAGAGAGAGAGAGAGCTCGGGACAGGGATGCAGGACAGGGGAGAGAGTGAGGGGGTGTGGGAGAGTGTGTGTGTGGTCCAAAACCTGCCAACAAGATCCAAAAACAACCACGCAACGAAATAACCACACTAGGGGCAAAAACGTCATTTCACCCCTACAGTTCGAAAATCCGGAACGGGCTGTCACATTTAAAAACTCAAGGAAAAGAATGTACATCATACCACATTGTTTTATAGATAGGTATATATGGGTACATAAAATGCAGCAACCCTAAAAACCATTTTACATAATATTCTCCAAAAACTTTGTACCTGTTATAAACTTCTTATTTAAGTGTGATTGGGTAAATCCTAAATTAGATTTGATTCTAGTTATTCTTCCCTATTAGGACTTGTATTCCTTGGAGAAGAATGATTTCTTCTTCCTCTTATTACTATAAATAAAGGCACTACACAGGAGGAATAACACATCCTATACACAACCCTACAAACACATCTCTGTCTCTGCGCCGCTGGCCCCCCTTCCCCTGTCAGTTAAATATAGGCCACAACAATATCCATATATTTATGTAAAACGAATTTGAACCAACCAAAACATATTATAGCAATAGATATATTAGAACCAAACATGTAGATTAAAAATGTACCCATGGATATAAGTGTAGCCAACCATACATTGAATAATCAAGACTAATATATAATAATAAAAGGAAAAGAAAAAATATACAGAACAAAAGAAGATGACTTGAGAATGGTACAAATTTCACATAGTCGGCTCACTCTACAGTCTCTGCATGTTTGAATCAATCAAACTCCTTGAGAAAGCGATGCCGGCATTGCCTTGCCTATGCCACACAAATCTCACAAGCCGATAAAATCATTGATGCTAATTTGTATTTTAATCACAATAGGTTTATTCAACATATATGCATTGGATCAATTCAAGGATGGAGAAAAAATGGAGAAAATTGGGTTTGGGATGTTGTACATTCTGGATGTGCGTAAGGGAAGAAGAAGAATGAAGGAGTTCAAATGGATTTTCCTTGTTTTAAACTTACTTATATAGTTTATTTTACCTTAAATGCACAAAGGGATGAGATTTCATTTATGATGATGTGTAATATTTTAAATGCTAAAATGATGATATGGAATCAGCCAAATGACCTTGATCTAAAATAGAAAAATAATAAGATTTACATCAATGTAATATGAAAATAAGGAATGAGAACCTATTTTTTTCAAAATAATAATAATTATTATTTGTTTTCACGACAAAACTTCTCCCGACAGAATGACATTTGTCGGGAAAAGTTATTTATTGCGGCACAATTCATTTTTATCCCGGCGGAAACTTTACCAAAGATTTTTTATTTTATTTTATTTTTTATTTTTTTGTTGTTGTTGTTGTTGTTTGTAGTGTAAGATATTGGAAAACTGAGATTCAACCCAAATATAGTCAATACAGGGGGCTTACTCTCTGTAGAATTTTAACCCACCTTTTTAGTTTAAAGAAATTTGGAGCATTTGTTTTTGGATTTGGCTCAATGAAACTTTGTTCCTTGAACCAAAATTCTTGAGTATTACGGGTCCTTGAACTTGTTACAATATTGAGTAATAGTTCTTTTGGGTAACATCATTAATCAAAATAAAAGGATCATTGCTCCATATTATGACAATTTTAGGGACCATAAATTATGGATTTTAAGTTCATAAACCAAAGCTCTAATTTGATCAAAGTTCAAAGACCATTGCTCTAATTTTCTGTTCTAGTTTATGATAATTCTATCCAAAATTTGACATGAGAATACTGATTTAATGACATGAAAGTCTAAAATATCGTTTCCTTTCTGAACTCTCTTCCCTGGAAGCCCTTAATCACTAAAAATTACGTAGGATGAGATTTTGGCTAATTTAGTTGTTTCCCTTCCTGAACATCGTTTGTGGTGAATTTCAAAATGGGTTATGCTTCTAATTTGTTAATGTTGTGCAAATGTGGCTTTGCCCATTTAAGTGTCTTGAGCTTACCACTTCATCAATTTATGAATTATCATACAATCAATCAAACCAAATGTACAAATTGATATAATTGTAGTACTTTAAAGTGAAAATGAGAATTAAACACTCTTAACCACTCATGCTACAAGCACTTTACAACTTTTCCTTTTAAAAGTGATTTAAATTGTTGAGTGAAAAATGTAATTTAAATTGTTGAGGAGGGCCGAAGCCCAAAAGAAAACAATCGCACAGAAAAAGGCCTGGGCTTAGAGATATCTACCGGTTGGGCCTCTTTATTCATAAGTAAGACTTGGCAGAGTCTCAAAACAGAGAGACCCTAGTTCATAAAATCGTTCCGAATTCAGAATCCGTTTTACAAAGACGGAGACGGCTGGTGGCTGGTGGCTGGTGGCTGGTGGCGGATGGCTATTCGAATACCAATATCAATTCCAATTCCAAGGTATGTCTTTTGTTGTGATTGGGTTATGTCGGAATCGACTAAAATTGGGCGTGGTCTGATGCTCCGATGCTCCTCATCTTTTGGTTTCACTTCTCAATGTCGTCGTTGAGGAGAGTTTTTGTGCTAATTTTCACTCAGTCACTGAGGAAGAGGCACTAAAATTGGCTGCAGTGCATCACTGTGTCTGATATTATTCTAGAATTCTTTTGCAATTGCAATATTTGATTGGTGTTTGTTTGTTTGCAGTGTCCATGTGATGTGATTATTCAAATACAATGGAACACAGAAAGAATGATGACCGATGCAGCAATACTTCAGTCGTTGGCATTCAAGGTACAGCTATTGCAAATTGCAATGAAATCGTAATTATTTTTGTTCCCATTCCAATCATTACTTGATTTTTTTGTAACTTATTCCGAAAGTCAGCCAGTCTGTCTCTCTGATGCTTGCCTGCAAATGATAAATTAAAATAAGTAATACAAGATCATAATCCGTTCTCCCAACCCAACTTATGCATATTCATGGTTTCCATTCTCCCTCTGATGCTTGCCTGCAGATGATAAAGTGAAAGAAAGGTCCAGAGATCAAAGAGAAGCTCTTCCAGGGGAGCCTAAATGTGTTATATGTAACCGTTATGGTGAGTACATATGCCATCAGACAGACGATGACATTTGCAGTTTGGAATGCAAACAAACTCTCTTATGTAAAGTGGTCGTCCCCCATTTGCCACTCAACCTCCCACCTCTCAAAACATTACCCGCTACTGATGAGTGCTTTTATGTTAGAGATTCTGGTGCTCAATCCCGATCTCAATTCTTATCCGCCGACCACACTGATTTGCTTAGAACAAGACTTGGAATTCATGTGACGGGAGACTTAGTTCCAACACCAATCTTGTCATTCTCTTCGTGTAATTGTCCTCAAAAGCTCCTCCAAAATATAGAGGCTGCAGGCTTTGAACTGCCCACACCAGTCCAGATGCAAGCAATCCCAGCTGCTTTGAGTGGCAAAAGTTTGCTTGTTTCTGCTGAGACGGGCTCTGGTAAAACTGCTTCCTTTTTGGTTCCAATTGTTTCTCTTTGTGCAAACTTTCGCTTTCAGCAGTCCGCAGACCAAAAGAGGCCATTAGCAATGGTTCTAACACCAACCAGAGAGCTCTGCATACAAGTTGAGGAGCAGGCTAAGTTGCTCGGAAAGGGTTTGCCTTTTAAAACAGCACTCGTAGTTGGTGGTGATGCAATGGCTAGACAACTTCACCGCCTTCAGCAAGGAGTGGAGCTCATTGTGGGAACTCCGGGCAGGCTGATAGATCTTTTAACGAAGAATGATATAGAACTGGATGATGTAAGGATTTTCGCACTTGATGAAGTGGACTGCATGCTTCAAAGGGGCTTCCGGGATCAGGTAATGCAGATATTTAGGGCTTTATCGCGACCCCAGGTTTTACTGTATTCTGCAACAGTCTCCCCAGATATAGAGAAGATGGCAAGCTGTATGGCAAAAGATGTTGCCGTAGTCTTTGTTGGCAATCCCAACAGGCCAAATAAGGCTGTGAAGCAACTACCCATCTGGGTTGAGTCAAAGCAAAAAAAGCAAAAGCTTTTCGACATATTGATGAGCAAGCAGCATTTTATGCCGCCTGTGGTGGTTTATGTGGGATCAAGACTTGGGGCTGATCTACTATCTAGTGCAATTACAGTCACCACTGGGGTGAAAGCTTTGTCGATCCATGGGGAGAAATCCATGAAAGAGAGGAGAGATATCATGAGCTCTTTCTTAATGGGTGAGGTTCCTGTTATTGTAGCCACTGGGATTTTAGGCCGTGGGGTTGATCTCCTGAGTGTGAGACAGGTTATTGTGTTTGACATGCCCAACTCCGTTAAGGAGTATGTCCATCAGATTGGTAGAGCATCTAGATTGGGAGAAGAGGGTACAGCAATTGTATTTGTGAGTGAGGAGAATAAGAACTTGTTTCCAGAATTAGTTGAAGTTTTGAGATCTTCTGGTGCAGCTATACCTCGGGAGCTTGTTAATTCACGGTATATGGCATGCCCATACTCCATTGGCGGAGGCCAGAGAAAGAGAAAGCATGATTGATGAAATTTCGTATTGTTCTATTCCATATTACTCTAGAATCTGGATTCAGGGAATTGGTTAAGTTAGATACATTTACCATAACAGAGCAACGCTGCATTGGCATTCTTGCTAATACAAGATTTTGCTGGGTGGTTATGGATTATAATAAGATTAGCAGGGATAGTATGCGGATTTCAGGCTTTACAGCCAAGCAGCTGTTTGCACTTGCAATGGAAATGTGTGTGTGTGTGTGTGTGAAATTTGGCTGCGAATACTTGTGATTTGAGTTTGTAGATAGGCTGTTTACAACAACTATTGTCACTCGTGCCTTCAATTTGAACTGAAACAAATTAAATTTGATCTCGTTCAAGCTTGATCCAAGGTCCTGGTGTCTTAGATTGGATTGAAATGGATAATAGCTTTGAAATGTTGACTAATTTGTCTTCTACTTTCATTTTAGACAATATTAGTATTCGTTGGTTGCCATTCATTTTTTTCGTTGACATTCAATTCAATCCTTAACATCAAACAAACAACCTTAGTTGAGACTGGATCTTGCTAGGAGATGGTGATAGGTGGATTTGACAAAAGACTAATTCTAAGGAAATCAAAATTTTTAAATTAAATTTGCAAACTAAATGATGTGGTTTTTGATAATTGGATTATTAAATAAATGTTGGTTCATGTGTTTATCTCTTATTGATGACACATCATTTGGTTAAAAAAAAAAAAAAAAAAAAAGGGCTGGAAATGAATACATTCGGAAATAAGCAACCGAAAATGGAACGTCTTGAAATTCTGGGGGACAAAGTGTTGTAAGCCAAAATTCGGAGGACAAAATGGAAATATAAAATATCGCGAATCAGGGTGGGGATGCCCCGTACCCGGTACCCGGTGCTTGAAAATCCAACTAACGAACCTACCACTGCTCGCGCGCACGGTATAATTTTATCAATTTAATAAAAAGAAGAAAATACAGCTTCAGGCAGGGCACTGGGCACGCAACCCAACAACGCATTGCACATTAGTCCACCAACTAACAACAACCGGGCCAAGGAGGAGGAGGACGACGATATCATCCCTCTGAATTATCGAACGAAACGAAGAACATCATCAGGGTAAGGTCTAAAGAGCAAAAGCTCATCATTTTTATGCTTACGCACGCCATACAATTTCTGTGCGCGGAATGTCAAGATGGAGGAATCATTCAAGATTCTAACTTGTTTTTCTTTCTGTTTGCCATTGAATAGATTTGATATTTCGGTTGAGCATTAAAAGAATCGTTTGTTTGTTTCTTCGCCTTCCAATTCCAATTCCAATTCCAGGTTCGTATTCAGTTTCCAAATATCTATCGTGTTTGTTTGTTTGTTCGTATCCAATCTGAATCTTCCATGTTTGAGGTTGTATTGCATGATTTATTCAGTTCATTCTTTTATTGCATTTGGACATTATTAATGATGAGGATAAGGAAAAGAAAAGACCCACATTCAGCCATGTCTTACTACTCTTAATTGCCATCACTCAAACAAACTTTTAAGAACAATCTTACCCGATAGTAATTGACAGTGCACATTTCGGCAAGCCTAGCATAGCTTTACATTTATATATTGCAATTGTTTAAGACCAATCTTACCCGCAATTAAGAAATATGCCATATCTTTGTTTATTGGTTGTGAATTCACTTTTGTTGGAAGGTTGTAAACTCTTGTTAGCTTTTCGAACTAGGCTACTCAGCTTATAAGCTCATTCTGGTACTTGTTTTCAGTGTGAAGAATTTGAAACAGACTATAGTTTATGATGAACGGGACTCACAGTGTTGACAAATGTTCTAGCTCAACTTCCTTGAGCAGCCAACAGGATGTTGAGGATGACTGCATGATTGCTGTTGTACTATCAGAAGAGTATGCTAAGTTAGATGGTGCAGTTGCTAGGCGCCTTTCCAACCTGGCACCTGTTCCTGTATTGAAAATTTCCTTTGCTCCCCTCTCAATTCACTCTTTTCATTCATAGCTTTATATCTGATATTATGATATCTTTTGCAAAATTCCAGCATGTTCCACGGGTAAATTCCTACATCCCCAATATAACTGATGCTGGTTTGGATCACCAACGCCTTCTCCAGAGGTATGTTTATGCTTCAGAATAGAAATATGGACTGGTTATTTTGTGGTTGACAACTTTCCTAAAAGGTATTAAGATAACTTCTTGTAGCAATCTTCCCCTTTCTTTTTGGTTGATGATGGGAATAATACAGGTAAAAAAACTGCATATTTCGAAGGGAAAAAAAAATAATACCACGTAAGCACACACTTGGAAATGGCTGAAGGTATTGGCAAACCTCACTTTGGATATGCAGTTTTGCAACTCATAGAAAACCACATACAGTCCTGAAAATGATAGTATCAAATATGATGTATTTTATTACCATGTTTGTTGGGGTGTTGGACCTGTTGGTATTTTAATAGGAGAGGTAGTTTACCCTTGGATGTGGGTTGATGATTGTACTCAAATTACGCTTGTATTACAATACTTTAATCTATAACAACATTTTAGTTTGTAGATGAATTTATTTGTAATCTCATTTAGGCATTGAGTGTGATGCAACTCTGTACTCAGCATCTTGGCGGACTAGAAGTAAATATCTGTTTTGTATTCTCCACACTTCTGTTTTACTTCTTGTTGGCTGATAGTTTAGTGAATTTCTTATTACTTCCTTGCAGGTTACATGTCCATAGTTTATATGAAGTAAAGGTTTCTGGTGATGGAAATTGTCAGGTATCTGCAATACTGAAAATCCAAAATAATAGGTATGTCATTTTTAAGTTACATTGATTTCTTTTCTTATTGTTTTGCAGTTTCGTGCACTTTCAGACCAAATGTACAAATCTCCAGAGTATCACAAACATGTTCGAAAAGAGATTGTGAGGCAGGTAGAGTGTATATGAAGTAACCAATTGCTATAGGAGGAACAAAATTTTAGATGGCTAGAAAATGAACTCGAGATCCATTGATATGAAATGAAGGATCAATTAAGGAGATAATGGAAACTGTTACCACTGCTGGGCATCGCCATATTTTGATTAAAGTAAACCTCCATCCACCATATTGTTACCTCCGCAGTCACCACCTTTACCACTCCTGTAACCATTGGGTGGTATAATGCCAAAGCGACTTTTCTTTGCGCTCACAACTACTGCTTCATGTGTCCCTTCTCTCTACAATGCATAATTATCATGACCAGAATTTATAGTGACCTTTCAGTGCCACATTGTCTCATTTTCAACATTATTTTACCAGTTCTTTGATTAGTTTAAAGGGGAACAAAAAAGTGGATGCCTAATTTGAGTATGCTTGTCGTGCACTACTTTCCTGTTTCCAGCTCAAAGACTATCGTTCTTTGTATGAAGGCTATGTCCCTATGAAGTACAAGCGCTATCACAAGAAAATGGCAAAGTATGTCAAATTTTTTAGGGTCATTAGTTCGGTTATTTGATCAACAAGCTTCTGTCTGCATACATGAATTCTGGCTTAGTTTCATCTGTTTTTCGGTACAGCAGGTTTGTATTCACTTTTAATTTCCACATGATGCAGATCTGGTGAATGGGGAGATCATGTTACCTTACAAGCAGCAGCTGACAAGGTCTTTTACATTTGTCCCAATGGATCTGAATTTCTCTCTGTAGATTAGTAGTCGGCATATCATTCTTATCATCATTATTTTCTCGTATTTTCATGGTGGTTGATTTGTACTCATTGGTGATTTATCTTAGCTTTATTAATGTACTTAATAAGTACTACTTATTGATGATGGCATCAAGACTTTTTCAGTTTGACTGGAAATATTTCTTCATGAGCCTGAAATGGAACTTGATATTGAATCTTTAGTTGCAACAAAAAGAAAAAAAAAAAAAAAAAAAAAAAGAAAGGAAAAATGATGCAATAGTTCAAATATTAGTACATAAAACGTAGACCAGTGCTCACAACTTGAAAAGTTTCTTGTTGGCGTAGTGTTTATGCAATATCTTCTCTTGTAGTTTATGACGTTTCGTAATCCTGGTTGGATGCAGTTTTCAGCAAAGATTTGCCTTTTGACATCATTCAGAGATACTTGCTTTATTGAAATTATGCCTCAGTACCAGCCACCAAAACGTGGTAAGATGGAAGTATTTTTGCTCCTTTATGCTCATTGAAATGTAAAAAAAAAATAAATAAATAAATAAAAAAAAGAGATCCTCTAGTCTCGTAGTTGTAGATTCAGATGAAAAACTGTCTTGTAAAATGCTATAGGACAATTTCAGATTCTAACATTCTTATTTTTCCTTCTAAATAATGCAGAGTTGTGGCTGAGTTTTTGGTCCGAGGTTCATTACAATTCATTATATGAAATCCGAGGTGTCTTTCTTTTGTTTCTTTTCTGTGTTTTTGTTTGATTTACATCAGAAAGAGGCTCATTTTATAGGTGTCAACTGCAGTACAAGGAGAGAGTTAAGTTAATATCTTAGTTGCGTGTCTTTTTTGCAGATGCTCCAATTCAACAGAAACCAAGGAGGAAACACTGGTTGTTCTAGGCATCTAGAACTCGGGATGTTCACAGATTTTAGTACTGTGCATAAGTTCTCTAGATGTTGCCTTTTTCATTGTTTTTTCGAGTTTACAATTTAATTCAGTTATACAGTTGCATGCTTATGTATATACAACACTAGAGTTTTGACGATTACGGCTGTGCTGGATGGTTGAGTGTTTCAAGATTGTATTATTTGAATTGCTCAATTCTTTTGTAAGACCAGAGACGGATGGATTGTTCCTTTCAGTTTAAGGTATTTATCGATTATCGATGTGAAATTACTAAGATGAATTTTATTATATATTTTTTCGCCAGTTGTTTTGTTGGGTTACCTTGGCCACGGTAATAATGAGCTGTGTGGATTATTTGGCTGTTCCCCCACGTATTCACTGTTGTGCTAGGATAGCACCAAACCAATTGGAACCAACTCAAGCTAACCCACAAGAAATATATCAAATGAAATGCAAGAACAAAATATAAAAGACACCAAGATTTTAACGAGATTCCTCAACAGTCAATGTAACTAGAGTACGTCATCGGAGCAGTAGGAGCTCACTCAATAATCCACTATCAACCAAATGGGAGTTTACAAAGTGTTGACAATCTCACGATCCAAAACCCCAATACATTCAAAAGCTCTCTCACCAAAGAAACAAATAGAGAAGGAAATATAATGAATAATTTCCTCTCTATACAAAGCTCAAAGCTAATATAACAAATACAACATTGATAGAGTGAGAACTAGCCAAAGAGGAGCCCCTTCTTCTTCTGTTCAAAGTGGGGCTGCGGCACCACCTTTTATTTTTCTTCTCTGCTGCTGAAAAACAAAGGCAGCTGCTGCTGCCAATTAAAACCCTAGCCACACCCGTGGCTTTTCAAATGGGCTAAATAAAAGGCCCACTTAATGGGCTAGTGAGATTAACTTAAAGCCCAATGTAATTTGGCCATAAATTCAACATTCACATATTCCCTCCTCCTCTATATTTCAAATTTGTTTGAAGCTATTATTGGAATGTTGATTCCTATTACTGCATAAACCATACATGAAATTGGCACGGGGAAGGAATGGATATGAGACGAATAATTTCCTAGTTATCTTATTCTTATGCCTGATTTTCTTTTTTCTTTCTATTTATTGGTTGTTAACGTATAATATGACACGAATGAGAATGATAATCATTCCTTGTGAGTAAACAGGCTCATAAAGCTTCTAATTCTCATTTCCCAGCATTTCTAAACACGGGAATGAGGTTTCGTTACAATCCCTTGGAATGGACATTAATTGGAGTTGCATTTCCAAGCAAATCATCCCGCAAACCATATGAGACCACCTTAATTTGGTATGAAGCACTGAAAAGGAGTTCGTAGGGGTGGGCATAAAAACCGTCAAACCGCAAAACCGCATCGAACCGTAAGAAAAAAAACCGAAAAAAACCGTGTTGACCGGAAAAGTCAACTTTGAGTGAAAAACCGAACCGAACCGTTCAAACCGGTTCCGGTTCCGGTTTCGAATGACCAAGAACCGGCCGAACAGAACCGAACCGTTTTATTAATAATAAATAAATAAATTATATATACACACACATGTCATGGTATAATAGGTTGAAAAATTGTGTACAGGAGCTGCTGCTTCTTGCTTGCTCTCTGAAGTCTGAAAACCTGCAATTTGCTTCATCATTTTTTTGTTTGTTGACTGATTGACCAGTGCATATGTATTTTAGTTGTCTCTTTTTGTTGACTTGGTGCCACTAACAAAGACATTTGCTTAAAAAAAGATGTGTTGTATGCAACTTTATGTAATCAGTTTTAGAAGATGTATTTGAATGCATAATGATTTGGTGTTCAAATAATTTATTATTAGGAATCGTAAACCGGCAAGAACCGAATCGGAACCGGTGTAGACCGAACCATAATGTTCTAGTAATAAATTTAAGTGGAACCACACCAAATCGAACCGTTAATATATTTCGGTTTCGGTTCCAATTTAGGGGTGGAACCGCACTGAACCGCACCGTGCCCACCCCTAGGAGTTCGTAAAACAAGCTTCACGTAGATGATTAGCGTTGCTTTTAATTTTGGTGTAGCTTAATCATTTAGTTTCAAATATTAGTGCGAGTATACCATAGCAATTGTTGTATGTGTAGCCCCAGAATAAAAAAAATTCGAAGCCAAAAATAGCAATGGATATATGTAATGTACATAATAAAAATATAATAGTGAAGGAATCGGCAACACACGCTTCAAAGTTTAAACGACTTGTTCACCTTGATCTCTACATACATCAAGACTCATCTTGCATAATGAAAAGAAGGAGAAATTGGTTTCAACAATATTCTCATCGTTAATCTGAAAAGAAGAATAAAAGTAGAAATTATAAACGCAGAATGGTTAGGGAAAAACAAAAAACATGGATCCGGCCGCCAGGAATGACAAGGAGAATAGGAGTAGGAGTGGCTAATTTGAATTTTGAAAGGATGATCACTTCCAGTTGTTGGCGACAATGTCAGCCAAATCAACAACCCTTTGGGAGTAACCCCACTCGTTGTCGTACCAAGCAATGACCTTGACCATGTCATCGCCCATTACCATTGTCAATGAGGAGTCGACTGTGGAGGAGACATCTGTGCATCTAAAATCGACTGAGACAAGGGGTTCGTCACAAACAGAAAGGATACCTGCAAGCTCCTTCTCTGCGCTGTCTCTGAAAGCAGCGTTCACCTCTTCTGCAAAGGTCTTCTTAGTGACTTGGACAACAAGGTCCACCACCGACACATTTGGGGTGGGCACACGCAGGGCAATGCCATTTAGCTTGCCCTTCAGACTTGGAAGAACAAGGGCCACGGCCTTTGCTGCACCTGTGGAGGTGGGAACAATGTTGAGAGCAGCAGCCCGTGCACGCCTTAGGTCACGGTGGCTGGCATCAAGTAGCCTCTGGTCACCAGTGTAGGAATGCGTGGTAGTCATGGTACCCTTGATGATGCCTGCAGTATAAAATAATATCCTTGTAAGAAACTGACATGTGTTCTTATGTACTACGTACTAGGTACACACAACATTGGTAAACAAATTTGGTAATGAAGGAATTTGGTGAAAGAAAGAAAATATACAAGTAAGGATGAGAAAGATGTAATTACCAAATTTCTGGTCAAGGACCTTGACGAAGGGGGCAAGGCAGTTGGTGGTGCAAGAAGCATTGCTAATAATGGTTTCATCGGGGTTGTAAGCGTCAGCATTGACTCCGACCACATAGGTGGGGATGTCACCCTTTCCAGGGGCAGTGATAAGTACCTTCTTGGCCCCTGCCAGGAGGTGCTTGCCTGCGCCCTCCCTATCAACAAACACACCAGTCCCTTCAATCACCAGATCGATCTCCAAATCCCTGTCATGCAGCCATTGACAAATTAATTAGTACATGATCGATCATATGTATATGCACGTACACGTAGATGCAGGTGTGTGTATTCACTAATAAAGCTATAACTCATGAAGCCAACTCACTTCCAGGGCAGGTCTAGGGGGTTGCGGCTAGACACGACCTTGACAATCTTGCCATCAACGGAGAGGCCATTATCCCCAACGGGCTTGACATCAGCATCAAAGATACCGAGGGTAGAGTCATACTTGAGGAGGTGGGATGCCTGCTTGACGCCTCCTGTGTCGTTGATGGCAATGACATCAAGAGGCGAGTCCTTGCGTCCATGCCAGCACCTCAAGAAGTTCCTTCCAATTCTTCCAAACCCATTTATTGCCACCTTTAGCTTCGCCTCCGTTACTCCTTTTTTGTATCCTCCATTGCTTCCCAACTTCCCAAAATTAAAATTTACAAAATACATATTACGCCGCCACATTTACAAACATACGTTTAAATGCGATCTTATGCCCCGATAACAACAATTCTTATTCTCCCTTTTGTTTTTCAAAGTGAGCAATTATACGCTAACTTGAAACGAAAACAGTTCATGTAAAAGGGGTAAAGTAGTCTAATTGTATAATTTATAAAATTAAGAATTAAAGGAAAGGCTTTTTAGCCAAAATGGTCCATGAGATTTGCATAACACATCACTTTGGTTCCTGAGATTAAAAATTAATAGAAATGGTCTCTGAGATTGTCCACCATCCATTATTTTGGTTATTCCGTTAAAAACTCCATTAAGTGTCCCGAAGTTCTTGGCCGGAAGTTTGGGCAATTTTCAAAGCTTCGTAACTCAATCGTTTTTTATTCAAATTTGACCCATAATCTATCAAAATGAAGATAGCAAAGTGTAGAACAATATTATATTATTTGGAAGCCCAATAGATGTCAGAGATGGTCGGAAAAGAGCCTGAAAGGTGACTGGTCCGCAGGAAAACTGGAAAACTCGTCGGAAACTGGGTAAATTTTAAACGTTCATAACTTCTTCACTAATCAACGAAATCGAGTGATTCAAAAACGAAAATCATACTTCTTGATGAGATGAAGAGAATGGTACTTTCTCGATGGATAACTCGCCGTGGTTTGGCCGGAAAATGGCTCAAAAGTGGCTAACTCGACGACCAAGACAGCCACTTTCGAGCTGTTTTCTGACCAAACCACAGCGAGTTAGCCTTTGAGAAAAGTACAATTATCTTCGTCTCGTCAAGAAGTATGATTTTCGTTTTTGAATCACTCGATTTGGTTGATTATTGAAGAAGTTATGAATGTTTAAAGTTTACCCAGTTTTCGACAAATTTTCCAGTTTTCCCGCGGACCAGTCATCTTTCAGGCTATTTTCCGGCCATCTCCAACAACCATTGGGCTTTCAAATGGTATAATCTTATTCTACACTTTCCTATCTTCATTTTGATTTATTATAGATTGAATTTGGTTAAAAAACGATTGAGTTACGAAGCTTTGAAAATTGCCCAAACTTTCGGCCAAGAGCTCTGAGACACTTGACAGAGTTTTTAACAGAATGACCAAAATAATGGATCATGGACAATCTCAAGGATCGTTTCTATTGATTTTCAATCTTAGGGACCAAAATGATGTGTTATGCAAATCTCAGGGACCATTTTGGCTAAAAAGCCTAAAAGAAATTAAAATAGTATGAGATAACATATGCACACAATAGATAAAAAGAAAAATAAACACAAACTCACACAACAATAGATAGACTCAAAAAAAAAAACACAAACTCACACATTTGCAGGCTGCATTTGGATTTTGGAGAGCTAGTTACTAATAAAGAAATGAGTCACTTTTGGAAAATGCGGTTCACATATAATAGTAACAGTAGTTGCCTTTACCCATTGTTTGATGGTCGATGCGCAACCTGCTTTGGACTTATTAACACACCATTTTTGAAATCATAAGCACGTACGCTAGCCGTAGGCATATACTAATATTCCTTGTATATAAACCACGGTGTTTCTTAAACTCGACTCCCTGGTTGTTTAATTATGAGATTTGATAACCACAATTGGTATTCCTTAAATGTTATGATTGATCGATGATCATTGAAACGTTATTTACAGACACTAGCACGTATATACATAGGAAAAGACAGAGACAGTAAGACATTAAAGACAAGAAGAAATTAATCAAAGTAGTAGTAGTAGTACTCACAGCAGAGGTCTGGAAGGTAATGACTGAGAATAAATCGTCTGAGGTCTTCTTTCCGAAAGGAAGGCAAGCTGATGAGGTACGGAGACCTGAGAATTCTGCTAATCCCTTTCCATTGGCCTGCAAATTAATCAATTTAATCATTTTGGGCATCTCACACACACACACACACATATAACACAAATTAAACAAACACTAGCTAGCTATAATTAATTAATGATCAGTTTAACTAATTAACGTACGGTACGTTCTGCATGTGCGCTTAATTAGTTTAAGTAATCAGCTGGCCTAGTACTCTTGCGTCTGTGTGCATATATATGTATATAAAAAGTGTATATCTAGCACACAATGCAATATCCATACAGGTCTGAGCGAGCAAGTTAAGAAGCATAAAGTGATTGAGGCAAGAAAACGAGAAGGTAGCTGCATATATGAACCTGAAGAGATGGTTTGGCCACAGAAAGAATAGCCGAAGACATTCTTGGAGCGGAGCGGTGCTAGCTATGCACTAATAACTAGCTCAGGGCAGGGTAGGGGGGAGGGAGGATATAGCTAAGCAGTGTTAAGGGAGGAAGGGAGGAAGGAAGGAAGACAGTCACAAAAATCACAAGGTCGTTATATATTCATTTGAATAAATGATTGAGATAAAACTAAGATGATGAGATGAGGTACTAGTGTAGTGTGTCGTTGGAAGGGAATGACTGAAATTAAACCAAGAGGACTAGAGGAGAGGAGAGGAGAGGATGAGATTATGGATAGAGCCTATCATTCAACGAATGGCTGTCGTTTGAAGCTTTGTGTTTTGTGTCCCCCTCTCTTTCTACTCTTTCTCCCCCCAACTACTCGTATTCCTATTCCTTTTCATAGTTCTTCCATCATCACATCTTCCCCTGCCCTCAGCCCTCTCACGTGAATATTCATTTTCTACTAATATAATGGTGGACGTTAGGCCTTTGGGCCTGAGCCTCATTCTCTTAGTGGGCCAATTTTCATCTGTCCATAATGAAATTCCAAACAACTTTTTAGGGCTTCTGCCCACCAGTTCGATCTTTAGTGTACACGTGTGCAGCTGTCCTGCTGAATTGACTTGATCTTTATTACAATTACCCATTATTAAAATGCGCAATGCTAACGAGATTAAATTTGTAGATAAAATTTTATAAACTAAACAATATGGAAGTTGATAATTGGATTATTACTTCAGTATTGATAAACACGCTCATTTCTATTAGTGACAAATTATTTAGTTTGCAAATTTAGTCTATAAATTTAGTCTCGCTAGTATTACTCTATTAAAAATTAGTGGTATTTGAGTCCATTTAGTTGAAACAAGTTTCATATTTGAAGAGTGCTGATAAACAAAGCCTATTGTCCAATTTGATCACTCATTTTTTAATGAAACATGTTAATAAAATATTAATGGGAAATTGCCAAAAATGGCATATTTTCTTAATCTTATGACTGAATTAGGAAAAACCGGTCACGCACAAGTTATGCGCACTATGCACAAAAATGAAATGACAAAAATACCCACATATAAATTGTAAAAACTCACAAATGATTACGCCATTTTTCTAATTTCGAAAAGAGAGTTGTGAGCTCTGGGTTTTTAGGTTGGCTTAGATTTGTGAGCATATCATGTGCATATCGTGTGCATGTCACTGGAAAGAGATGATTTTTAATGGGATTCCAGAATCTAGGTTTAGGTCAAAGGTTTGTAAACTACAGAATTTTAAAGGATTACTAGAATCTAGGCGCCCACATATCCCCCAACGCAATTAATTGCACAATGCACGTCCACAATAAAATCGACGTCATTGCACGTATCATCCCCCAACTTCATTTTCGACCTCGACGACGACGACGCTGCTGTGACCATCATCAAGTTTTTTTAACTTTTCCCAAAACCTGATTTCCTAAAACGGAGGCAAAATACTGACCACATTCCTCAAAGCTTTGCTCCAAAACTCTCGCGCTCAAATATTCCCTCCAGATAATGCATCAAGAACCCTAATTTCTCACAGTAAAAACAAAAATCCCAAATTAAAAAAATTGAAAGCTTTGATCTTTGCCACAACACTCAAATTCCAAAAAATGACCCGTTGCATAAATATGATAAGTGCTAAGAAAAATAATAGAGAGAGAACTATAAAAGCTGGAAGTACTAAATGAGAGGACTGGATGGGCGAACTTGCTTGATTTGCAAACAACATGGGTTGAAGCCCAGAAAGATATTTTTGAGTGTAGGAGGACTGGATGTTTCTCTCTCTCTCTCTCTTCTTTGTTTTTCTCTCTACAAAATGATTAATGAGGGTTGGAATTTTTGGGTAACCTATTTATATGGGAGGGCAATTAGATCATTTCAAGGTATAGGAAAAATCCTATTGTTGTGCATGGCGTATTCATAGTCTATGTATATCCGAAAAATCTTATTTCGGTCCCAAAATTAAGAAAAATCTCTTAGAAAAATCCTACTGTCTTAATTTACCCTTCAAAGTTAACTCCATGGTAGGTAACAAAATAAGACAATAGGGTGGTCTAGCAGAACCCTTTTTGAATCACATGAATGAGGATAAAGGTTACTATTCACAATTTTTTTTTATTTTTTTATTTATTTTTTATTTTTTATGCTTTGTAAGTTTGTTCCCTGAAAATAAAACGGTTGTCTAATTGCAAATACAATGCAAAACAATGTCTTCCTCTATCGACCAATTTGTCCTCTCACTCATTTTTGTGGTAACAAATGGATTTGGAAAGTAGAAAATAAATGTAAGAGATTTTAGTAAAAATAAATATTGAGTTGTGGTGAGGGTAATGAATAAGATGGTTGGGTCTTTATAGAGGTATTTATAGAAAGAAAAAAAAAAGAAAAAAAAGGGTTTTTTTGGTAATTTCAAGAATTTTTTGGGAATTTTATTTTTTGAATTAATCCTAACCATTGATTTCCAAAAATAATTTGAAATCAAGCGCCACATTTTGCCACATGGCACAACATCATTTTTTTTTGTAATTGTTTTTTGCCAGTTGGTTCAAGCCCAGACATTTCTTGCGAGTGCAATTGCAACGGGAGTGAGGATCCTCACCTGATCCTCTTTGTGAGGATCTTAGTGATCCTCAAATTACATCTGTTCATTATACATCGTGCGGTCAGAAATCACTGTAAATTTTCTTAAAATTGAATATAAACAGTACCTAATAAAAACTGACTGCACGATATACGATGAACAAATATAATTAGAGAATCTCCAAGATCCTCACAAAGAAGATCCGACGAGAATTCTCTCTCGTCTAACGGCACAAGCCTTTGACCAGTCGCCTTCCCCTTTTTAGACCTATGGACAAGCTTTTTTTGGATTAGAGGCAGCCCAATTGCAAAGGGAAGGCAGGAACCGTAGAGATGCTCTTATTTGTGATGAGTTTGATAACCAAGTATTTTGTATAATACTCATTTTATGTCAGAAGAAACAAGTATTTTTCATATTTTAAACTTGGAGGAAATATATATAGGAATTACATGGATCGCAATCCAGGGGATATGAAATACAATAGGAAATTAATTCTTATTACAATGGAATTACACAAGAGTGCATCTTTTGCTCACCTGTAAAGTGAGAGTGATGCTCACTCCCATTGATTGCCATTTAAATTAGTTGAAGTTTTCAAATATGCGTCTAAAATCAATTACACCAAACTAATTTAACTCCCATTTATTGCCATTTAAATTAGTTTATTAGTTTAAGTTTTGAAATATGCATCTAAAATCAGTTAAACCAAACTAATTCAACGATAATCAAGGAGATGAGCAGCTCACCCCCTGAAGGGTTGAGCAAAGTTGCACTCGATATAAAAGGGCAACAAGTTAAAAGAAATTTCATACACCATTTCTCATCTCATGCACATCCCTCTTAATTTGCAGCCATTAGGATGAACAGTTAAAATAAATTCAACGATCATGATAATAGGTGCAGAAGGTAATTAAAAAAAAAAAAAAAAAAGTGTTGAAATCACTATTTGTAAATACACAACTCGCCAACACCTCTAACAGAACCGCGAACGCTTCAAAAGCAGGAAGGCAGCAATAAGCCACCTAGCCTCGTCCCTAAAATAAATTTTTTTAGGAAATTCCTTCTCAGATAAGAGTTCAAATTTACTTTTTTATTTCCACAATTTGTCGTGCCTTTCTGCTCTCTAACTTATGAGAGACATTGACATAAAATTTTCTCTTGATTCCAAGGTATGTTTCGGGAATGACATCTTATAAAGTGTTACCGATGGAGCATTTCCAGCTTTCTAGCATAAAATGCTTGTACTTTGAATGAAAACCCTAGTGTGAGATTCAAAGAGTAGGTTAACAGACTGGTTGAGAACCCGTTGATAACCACAATTAGCTGGAAGGTAGGTCTAGAATGTAAGTGCAGGCGACTCAGAAAAAACCTTCGAAGAGTGAATCCTTGATGAAAACTACTTAATTCAACTAAGCTAAGCCTAATCCAACTCTCACAAATCGTTGTTTTTCATTTCACTTGTAGATTCTCAACATACTCTGTTGAAAAATTTCACTGTTAGATCTTCTAACAGAGTCATATACCTTCTATCAACTACTCAGTGTTCGCTCCGAATGAAGGTAGGAATGCAATTTCATACTATAGCGAGAAAAATTGAGGCATTCCTTACACACATGTGACCCACTAGTAATGAGGAAACAAACTCACTAACAAATTGTCAAGTCATACTTGCATAACTCATTAAATCATACTGTTTAGTCAAATAAAAAAACGCTAAACACTTCAAAAGAAGATGTTGTATATGTGTATGCGACTGAATTTCAAGCTAAGGAGCAGACTGAGATGGTCAGGTAGGTGACAATCTCTTCTTTCTCATACGAAAATGGCATGGCGAAACAGAAATAAAATGCAGAGCAATATCAACATAGCAAATCAAATGATAGCATAGTTTATAAAGATTTAAGCAATCTAGCTAACAAACGGATGGAATTCAGAAACAATTTAATAAACTTTTCATTAGCAGATATCCAAGACTATCATCAACCAGGATGCATTTTCGTAAGAAATATAGGAGGCAAGGAGCATGAAATACAATATTGATAACCAAATCATATATGGCTTCAGCTAATGTTGACATCAATTATCAATAAAGTAACAGAGTGAGGCAGTATTATCTCAATTATGACTAGGAACTACGAGCTAGCAAGGAGGACTGACTAAAGAGCAGCTGAGCGATGGCATTTGGTTGGTGGCAAACTGGACTCTGGAATCTGGAGGAGTTAGTGAAATGCCCGGTCAGTGGTCATACTTATTCATACCCTGAGTATCTGAAGCCTGGTAGAGAAGGCAATTGCAACCCAATCAGGTTGGGAAGAGGACCACTGCAGCTGCTCGATTTCAGCCCCAGCCGTGTAGGCCAGAATGGGATCGAGGCCACCCTCCACCGGCTGGCCCATGGAGGAGAGGTCCCAGATGAGGGCCTGGGAGTCATCACCGGCGGTGCAGATGTGGCAAGAGCTGTGTGGGGCCCAGGCAATGGCGTTGACGCTGGACTGGTGCCTCTGCAACTCGACCACGGGGAGGGTCGGGAAGCGGATGTCGAGGACGACCACCTTGGCGCTGTCCATGATGATGGTGGCCATGTACCTGGGGTCCTGCT